TTCATTGGTTCTCTGGCTCAGATAGCAGGATAGGAGCTGGGTTAGTAGGATCTACTTTCCATCCCCGCAACAGATAGATTCTCTCTTAATGCTGCTAAAGTCAAGTTCATAAACCTGGACCATGATGAATTCACCAAGGTAAATGTCATTTCTGATGCCACTTGGCAGCTGGCCAGCCAGCCTGCCCTGATGACACCTCTGTCTCTGCAAGCACATTTCTTTCAGACTCCTGTGTTTCTAGCCACATTCATCTCAACCAGCTGTCTCTTTATCCCTTATTCTGTCTTTTCCTCTATGACTCTCTCTTTTTAATTTATATATATCTTTATTTCTTCCCACGTCACCACTTATCCTTCCTTTATCCCTTGTTTTCTTTTTTTCTCTCTTTCTTTCTTCTTCTTCTTCTTCTTTTTTCCTTAAAGACAGGGTTTCACCATGTTGGTCAGGCTGGTCTTGAACTCCCGACCTCAGGTGATCTGCCCACCTTGGCCTCCAAAGTGCTTGGATTACAGGCGTGAGCCACCATGCCCGGCCCTCTTTCTTTCTTCTTTCTTCTCCCCTCCCCTCCCCTCCCTTCCTTTCATTTCCTTCTTTTTCTTTCTTTCTTTTTTTTTTTTTTTTGATGGAGTTTCTCTTTTTTGCCCAGGCTGGAATGCAGTGGTGCAATCTTGGCTCACTGCAACCTCCCCCTCCCAGGTTCAAGCACTTCTCCTGCCTCAGCCTCCCAAGTAGCTGGGATTACAGGCACACAGCACCACGTCCAGCTAATGTTGTGTTTTTAGTAGAGACAGGGTTTCACCATGTTGACCAGACTGGTCTCAAACTCCTGACCTCAGGCGATCCACCTGCCTTAGCCTCCCAACGTGCTGGGATTACAGGCATGAGCCACCATGCTCGGACTTATTTTCCTTTTTCTTTCTTTTTTTTTTTTTTTGGTTTACCTTAATTGACCATGGAGTTGAATAATAATATATACCAGAGCTTTTTGCCAAGCACGATTCTCGGCCATACGTAAAAATTATATTCTGACCTCACGATAACTCTGAAAAGTGTCTTTGTTCCTATTTTACAGAGAAAAAAGTGGAGGCTCATAAAGTGTAAGTAGTTGTGTTTCATAATCTTAAAAGTTTTCTCTGTTTAATTTTCAAAATTAGTAAATTAAATGCTTTGTTTCCTTTATCTGAGAAAATGCAGTTTAGGTCAGGTGTAGTGGCTCACACCTGTAATCCTAGCACTTTGGGAGGCTGAGGCGGGTAGATCACTTGAGGTCAGGAGTTAAGAGACCAGCCTGGCCAACATGGTGAAACCCTGGCTCTACTAAAAATACAAAATTAGCCAGGTGTAGTGGTGTGCACCTGTAGTCCCAGTTACTTGGGAGGCTGAGATAGGAGAACTGCTTGAACCTGGGAGACAGAGGTTGCAGTGAGCCAAGATCAGGCCACTGCATTACAGCCCGGGCAACAGAGTGAGAGACTGTCTCACAAAAAAAAAAAAAAAAAGATCCTTTGACACTTTGAACAATAAAGCTCCCACTGCTCTTTGCCCCTCCTCATCCTCCTTCCTTCTTCCTGAGAGTAGGGCTTGACCCTGATTCCTCTGACACAATCTTAACCTTTTTTTTTTTTTAATCAGAGTCTTGCTCTGTCACCCAGGCTAGAGTGCAGTGGCACAATCTCAGCTCACCACAACCTCTATTTCCTGGGTTCAAGCGATTCTCCTGCTTCAGCCTCCCGAGTAGCTGGGATTATTTTTTGTATTTTTAGTAGAGATGGGGTTTCACTGTGTTAGCCAGCATGGTCTTGATCTCCTGCCCTTGTGATCCCCCCGCCTCGGCCTCCTAAAGTGCTGGGATTACAGGTGTGAGCCACCACACCCATCCACAATCTTAAACTTCTTTATGGAGGAGGTAATCTTCTCTGTCCAGTCAGGCTCAATGTACTTTCTGTATCTGTGCAAAAGGAAGAGGTCAAATCTTCAGCACCTAGATTTGTAACTTTCAGTAACTTGGAGATGGAGGTTGTGGCAACATTGGATCTGCTCCCTGGAAGATCACTTTTTATTATTTTGGGTGTTTAATGAAGCTGCTCAGCCTTAACAGGTGTCCTCCCCATGATCCTAGAAGATAGTGAGGTAGAAGTAAAGAGAAGTATCCCTTCCAGCCTGCTTCAGTAGGGGTCTGAGACAAAAGAGGAAATAAGATGTTTCTGGTTGGGTTCCAGGCTCCTTCACTCTTCTACAAGGGAGTGAAGGCTGCTTATCTCCTGGAGACATGAATTACAGAATTTGTGTTATAGGCTGGAGGAGTAGATGCAACCGCTGTACTTTCTTAAAGGAAGCATAAAGCATTTAATTTACTAATGTTGAAAATTAAACAGAGAAAACCTTTAAGATTATGCAACACGACTACTTACCTTTTATGATCCTGCCAAGGATCAGAGCATAGCAGCAGAGAAGTCCCAAGTCCAACTGAGTGTTCAGACTCCATTGGGTTCAGCACCATGGACAGAAAGCAACCCAAATCTGTCCCAAGGGATGAGGGTTTAATGCCACAGATACCCCTCTCTGTCCCCACCCACAATCTCACTAGTCCCCATTGCTATTCTAGGGAGGAACCTAACCCCAGCCATTAGTTAACTGGCTCCCATCACTTAAAGGTCGAGATAAGCAGTGGATTGGTTTCCTTCCAAGGCCCTCCTGAATTTCTTCACTGAGCTGTCTGTTCTGCAGCTTCCTGGTAGAGTGTGGTTCGCCTTAGAGCAACTCTTATTAAGATCCAGCTGATTTGCATATATCTGCATTCACTGGGGCTTCTCCGTTCTGGTTTTATTATAAATGAATTGCTCAGAGGAAGGGGAAGGATTATTTCACTCCTTCCTCTTCTTTCCCTCTATTCCTAGGGTCTCCATCTGGAAATTTCCCCCAGATGCCTGAAGGTGTGTGTGGCCGAAGAGGGTGGAAACCAGACTCCAACAGTCAGGTGTTTGCCAGAGCATCTTATGTAGATTTCCCCAGATAATTTCCCCCATCTGTTTGGTTTCTGAAAGATCCTTGTCAGGTTCAGAGGAAGTCTGTATTTTGTTTTAGCCCCTAGGGTCTGAACCTCTGGGCTGAAGTCCCTGGAGCTTCAGTAAGAAGCCATGATTGGTGCCTTAGAGCCTGCTAAGGGGATGGAACCCGGTTTTAAAGAGGAGTGAGGGGTGGTGTAGTGAGGCCTCATTTTGAAATGAAAGGAGTCCTGGGTCTCTAAGCAGCTTCTAAAAATACCATCTCCCAGAGCTGGAGGGAGGGGGAGGGGAAAAATCGAGCGTGAGGAGAATGAAGATGGAAAGGAGGTGGCAGTGTGAGAACCCTTCCTCAGGTAGGTCTGGTTTTAGAGGTCCCGCCCGCTTCTAAGGACTGAAGAGATGTCACACCTCCTTCTGCTTCCTCAGCGGGCTTATCTCCTGTGGTGTCCAAGCCACAGCCTTTGCTAATGACCTTTCTTTCTGCAGGTAAAGAAGACCAATTCCTCCCACCTACTCCTCCTATTGCTACTGTCCAGCAAATATGTCTGAGTGAGCAAATGTGCATTTACTCACACACACATGCACACACACAGGAATGGCACATGAAAACGGCTTGTAAATGGCCAGTGATCTACGATGCCAGGAATCCTCCTTACACTCGGCATTCAAAGAGGTATGGACTGTGGCAGAGGCAGCGTAGTTCACCAGGGCATCCGCAGCACAGAGCACGGCGCCCAGAAACGGCTGGTTGGAGGGGCAAGGGATACATATATGCAAAACGCACAAACACTCGGACCGCAGGGGCCAAGTAAGTCACAGGACTCACACTCACTCTCAAGGCTTCTCAGGCTATATTCGCTTCCAAACAGAGAGGGGATGGGTCCCCCAAGAAAAGAGCTCGGAAAAAGCCACAAGGTGGGTGGAGCTTTCTCCCCTCAAGTTCAGCCCGGATGGTGGCGCTCAGTAGCCGCCTCCCTCGTCCTGGTGGGCCCCAGCCCTTCCCACCACCAAAGTGTTAAACCCTCAGCTTGTACATAAATGACCTTCACTAGACAGAGGTCGTGTTCCATGTGCTCTTGCGGCTTCTTCAATGCCGGCTGAACTCTGCCAGGATTGCTCCGCCTCTCTCGCAGATGTATCGGATTCCTGGCCGCGGTGCCGTTCATCAGTCCCCTGGGGTGGGCGGAGTGGGGTGACCGAAGAGGGGAACCCCGACTCTGACCAGACTGAGGACAGGGGTGGCTGTGAGGTGCGATGCTTGTGTCTTGACAGCAGAAGCAAGAACCTGAGGAACTGATCGTCCATGCAAAACCACCACCGCCCCCATCCCAGCGTCCACATGGTTTCCGAGCCTGGGAACCGCGCTGGTAGGGCGGGACCCCGTCCCTCACTTTGCTCTCCTTTCCCGAACAGCTCCGAGGTCGGGTTCGGCCCCTCCTTCCTGCCTCTGTGTGTGTGTGTGTGTGTGTGTGTGTGTGTGTGTGTGTGTCTGTGTGATGAGGGCGGGAAGAGAAAGGGGAGGGATGAGCCAGGAGACACCAGGAGCCTCAAACACGGGAACAGACCTAGGGCAGGGAGATAGGAGAGCTCTCCAGAGCTTGGGGTCAGGGCATAAGCCTTCAAAACCCCCGCAAGTCCTGAGAACAAGGGAGCTTCCAGACAAGCTCAGAGGCTGCGAGTGTCACCGCCTCCCCGAGAGTCGCCCCTCCTTAAGCCAAACCCACGTTGCCTACTTCTCAGGAATGAGGAGCTAAGGTTTAGCGCTCTGGGCCACCGACGCCAGCTCATCCCCCTCGCGCAGAAGCCCCGTCAGCTCCCAGCGCTGCCCCACCCCCCACGGTTTGGGGATCTGCGGGACCCCTTCCTTTCCCCACCAGTTGGGTGTTCCACCCCTGGCCTATGAAACTCCACCTACCCACCCTCTGCTGGCGAGGATTGGTGGGCATCCCGCGGCGGTGCCTAGTGATTGGTCCCCATGGATGATGGTGAGCGGCGAGACCCCGCCCCCAGCTGGCGCTGGGGTCTGGGGGCACTGCTCAGCTGTACTAGGCTGGCGCGGCTTGAGCCGCCGCCGCACTGACATCTCGGTCTGCGGACCATGGAGACCGGCGCCGGTGCACACCCGCTGCGCCTGTTTCTCTGCCGGATGCCGCTCTGTCTCGCGGTGCTTTTGGGACCCTTGCGGCCTGGGACTGCCGAGGAAGGTGAGAAGACTGGTGGGCTCTGGTCGGAGCCTGGCATGCCAAAAGATAGGGGGGCTAGGGACGGGGATTTTTGGGGAAGGAGTCACTGGAGAGACTAGAGTCTGTATTGGGGCTAGAAGCAAGCAGGCAGCAAAGAACTGGAGAGACAGAAAAATGTGGCCAAGCAGTAGCGAAGAGAGCGGCGTTGAGGAGCTTGGGGACTGTAGACCCGGGAGGCAGGGGAAGAAAGAGACCAGGAACCGCGGGAGCCAGAGGCGGCAGTCCAGGGGCGGGCGAGACGGACAAGCTGAGTGATTGGAGGTGGGAGGTGTGGGGGCGGGGAGATAAAGAGAGTAGAGACAGGGAGATGCGGAGATGAGCTCGGAGTATGGGAAAACGGGATGGAGCCCGGACCACAGTGGCTAGGAGACCACAGTGTGGCCAACCTGAGGCTGAAGGCTGGTCGAGGGGGCTGGGTCCGGGCGCTGCCGGACTTGCTGATCGTGGAACTGTCCGCAGTGCTGAATTCTGAGCGTAGTCTACCAGGCGCGCTCCGCGTTGCTGGCTTTGAGGCTGTCGGCGATACTAGAGCCCGCGTCTCGCCTCTGATTCTGCATTTGGGGAAGCTATACGCTCAGTTGAATCCAGAGGCGTCATATCTAGGTGTAGAATCTGGAGGAGCTGGAATCTGAGGCGCTGACCGCGGGGCTGGTCGGGGCCCTGGATGGCTGACGCCTTCCAGTATGCAATTCCGATGTGCCGTCAGTTGCACGGATCTCGGAAAGCCGTCGGCGGTCCTGCCCACGTTCGCTGACACCTCTGGAGAGGCCCTCATTTTGGTGGGGCAGCCCCTGGCTTAAGCTCCAGAGGATAATATTCCAAGACTCCGGGATGCCCTGGCCTCCTGTCTCTAGTCTGCGGGCTTTGCTGCCCAAACCAGTTTCTGTGATCCATGCTAAGAGGTTGCAGACTGCTGATCTGATGCCTCCTGGGGGAATAAAGGGACTCCAAGCTTCACTGGTAGGAAGGGTCATAGAGGTATACATAAAAGGACCCCTGACGTTCTTTCAAAAGCAGTGGAAGTGACAGCCCCTGGGAAAAGGGCTGGCTGAGAAGAGATTTTATTTCTCCAGTTGTTGGCAGTATCTCTCCACATTATTTTCTCAGAGGCCATGGGAGTCAGACTAAAAATGTTAAATTCTTCATGTCTGAATGGGAGTGGATTTGGGGGTATATACAGGAATCCCCTGATACATTCACTACTGACTTTCTCTTTGTCTAATTGACACTTATCTATAATTTTGGGAACCTAAGAAGGTTAGGGAGGGTCACTGACTCCCATCCCCAATCTGAGAGCCAACCTGAGAGTATTTGCCATGGACCCTGTAGAAGGCTGAATACTGACTCCTTACCCCCAATACGTCAACGTCCTAATCTCTAGAACCTGTGAATGTTACCTTAAGTGACAAAAAAGACGTTGCATATGTGATTAATGATCTTTTGAGATGGAGAGATTATTTTAGATTATTTGGATGAGCCGAATAATCACAATGGTCCTTGTATGAGGGATGCAGGAAGAGTCAGAGGAGGAGGAGGAAGTGTGGTGACCTAGGCAGAGATTAAAGTGAGATAATTTGAAGATGGAGGAGGGGGCCATAAGCCAGGGACTACAGGCAGCCACTAAACACTGAAGGTGGCAAGGACATGAATTCTCCCCTCAGAGCCTCCAAAAGAAAACAGTCCTGCTGACACCTTGACTCTAGACCAGTTTAAATGGCTTTGGGCTTCTGACCACCAGAACTGTAAGAGAAAAAAATGTGTTGTTTTAAGCCACTAAATTTGTGGAAATGTGTCAAAGCAGCCCCAGGAACTGAATACAAGCTCCTTCCCTAATCACTTGGCTACCTCTCTCTGGATTTGAGCTATTCATATCCACTCCTGGAAATTTATGGAGTGGGGAAAACTTGTCCATATCATTTGTCACATTTTGCATTACCTCAGCAAATTTATGGGAACTTCACCAAAGGATTCCACTCTCCTGCTAAATTGGCATTTTTGATTTCTGACATTTCTGTTTTCCCCTCTCCTTAGTCATCCTCCTGGATTCCAAAGCCTCCCAGGCTGAGCTGGGCTGGACTGCACTACCTAGTAATGGGGTAAGTGTACAATGTCCCTCCCTGTCCCAGGGACCCTCTGGTGGTCCAGGACACAACCCCTTAAGCTCCCCATGTTTACATCGGCCAAAGTGTTCCTCATAGTGTGTGATCTCCAGCAGCCCTGGCCTCAAGCCAGAGTAGCCTATTAGAACATGTTGAGTCGTCAGCCAGTTAGACAGTCAAAAACAAAACCAAAAACAAACAAACAAACAAAAACCCCACAGTGAATAAATGAGGAGAGAACTGGCTGTCTAGGAACAGAAACCTGGCAACTGGATGAAGCTAATATAGAACAGTGCCTTTCACATAGTAGATCCTCCAAGCAATGTTGTTGATTGACAGAGCAAGCAAGACTGGGAGTCCTAAAAGAGGCTTGGGAACTTCGGGTGGGGGTGGGATTATGTGGGTTGTAACAGCAGCTTGGTGGAGCAGAAAGGGCACTGGTCAGAGAGTCAGGAGTCTATATGCATCATTCCTAGCTCTACCACTACTTTGAGGCACATACCTGGTCAAATCACTCTCCCTCTGGAGCCTCAGTTTCCCTATCTATAAAAATAAGATTTGGGCTCATTTGTTTTCAAAGTTTCTCCCAGTACTGCATCTTACAATTTCTGGGGTGTGCATGGTGGTGAGAGAGAAGGCAGGAGTCACTGCTAGCACTCTACCTCCTGGAAGCATGTTGGCTCTGAGCTGCCCACTCCTTTACTCTTGTCCCCAGTGGGAGGAGATCAGCGGTGTGGATGAACACGACCGTCCAATCCGCACATACCAAGTGTGCAATGTGCTGGAGCCCAACCAGGACAACTGGCTGCAGACTGGCTGGATCAGCCGCGGCCGCGGGCAGCGCATCTTCGTGGAGCTGCAGTTCACACTCCGTGACTGCAGCAGCATCCCTGGCGCCGCGGGCACCTGCAAGGAGACCTTCAACGTCTACTACCTGGAAACGGAGGCTGACCTGGGGCGCGGGCGTCCCCGCCTAGGCGGCAGCCGGCCCCGCAAAATCGACACGATCGCGGCGGACGAGAGCTTCACGCAGGGCGACCTGGGCGAGCGCAAGATGAAGCTGAACACAGAAGTGCGCGAGATCGGCCCGCTCAGCCGGAGGGGTTTCCACCTGGCCTTTCAGGACGTGGGCGCCTGCGTGGCGCTTGTCTCGGTGCGCGTCTACTACAAGCAGTGCCGTGCCACCGTGCAGGGACTGGCCACGTTCCCAGCCACCGCAGCCGAGAGCGCCTTCTCCACCCTGGTGGAAGTGGCCGGAACGTGCGTGGCGCACTCGGAAGGGGAGCCCGGCAGCCCTCCGCGCATGCACTGCGGCGCGGACGGCGAGTGGCTGGTGCCTGTGGGCCGCTGCAGCTGCAGCGCGGGATTCCAGGAGCGTGGTGACATCTGCGAAGGTATCCAGCTGGCTGGGGGCTGGGGGGTGGGAGTGCAGAGCGTAAGTGGCAATTGAAAGTGTCCCTTAGATGAAAAAGGCGGGGCTGGGGGCGAGGAGGGTAGAGAAGCCTTGGGCTCTGAGCCCAAGGACTGTCCTGATGTTTCGTGTTGGAGTTTCCAGTGGGTCCAGTCAGGGCCAATGAGTGAAGTTACTAGGAGGTGAAATTGACTAGCTAAGGAGGCATTAGGGACCTGAATCTTAGGCACCTCACACAGGCCTTCTCATTTATTTTCATGGCAATAAAGGAAACCATTCTTTTATTTTTATTTTTACTTTTTGAGTCTCTTGCTCTGTCACCCAGGTTGGAGTGCACTGGCCCAATCTCCACTCACTGCAATGGCCACCTCCTGGGTTCCAGTGATTCTCTTGCCTCAGCCTCCCAAGTAGCTGGGATTACAGGTGCGCGTCACCATGCCCAGCAAATTTTTGTATTTTTAGTAGACATGGGATCTCACCATGTTGGCCAGGCTGGTCTCAAACTTCTGACCTCAAGTGATCCGCCTACTTTGGCCTCCCAAATGCTGGGATTATAGTCATGAGCCACCACACCCGGCCTAAAGGGAGTCATTCTTTTTTTTGAGAGGGAGTCTCGCTCTGTCACCAGGCTGGAGTGCAGTGGTGCGATCTCAGCTCACCGCAACCTCCACCTCCTGAGTTCAAGTGATTCTCCTGCCTCAGCCTCCTGAGTAGCTGGGACTATAGGCATGCACCACCATGCCCAGCTAATTTTGTATTTTTAGTAGGGATGGGGTTTCACCATGTTGGACATGATGGTCTCGACATCTTGACCTCGTGATCCACCTGGCTCAGCCTCCCAAAGTGCTGGGATTACAGGCGTGAGCCACCGCGCCCAGCCTGAAGGAAGTCATCCTTATTCCTCCTTCACAGATGAAGAAACAGAGCCTCGGAGAGATTAGCACCTCACTTACAAAGTTAGGAAATGGGGAGCTAGGATCAGAATTCAGGCTTGCCCAACTCTCGCATTCTTTCTACGACACAATGTGGTCTCCCCTGCACCTAAGGAAGAACTCTACAGCAGCCCAAGCTTCAGGCTAGTGGGACTAGTTGCATTACAGGGAGGAAGCTCCCAGTCACTGACCACATGCTTGCAAGTCAGAGGCTGGCAGGGGGGATTTTTATGCTAGAGAGAGGGATTGAAAAGTTGCACTAGATGATTACTAAGATCACATCCCACTCTCTGAACTACAATCACTGTGCTCCCTGGGGGAGATCCTTCATGTTGGAGGTTTTGCTGGGTTCTCAGGCTGATGAGGGCGTTAGGAACAGACCTCTCATTCTCTCTTCTGCCTGTGGCATTGGAGACAGAGGGTGAGGATGGGGTTATGAATGTGTGCACTTGATATAGAAAGATCAAGGTATGCTTCTTCTAAACGATGTCCTTTTCTGGGTGCCAGGGCAACAGAAATGAGTCAGACATAGTCCCAGCTCTCAAGAAGCTCACAGTCTAGATGGAGAGATTCAAAAATGTAAAAACCACAAGAGGGTAATATATGCTATAACAGAGGGATACACAGAGTGGTGGGAAGACAGAGGAGGAAGTGACTCAATTTGCTCTCATTCCTTTGTTCAGTCATCCATCCAATATGAATTGAGGATGTGCCAGCTGCATTTATTGAGGGCTTGTTATATGTATACAGATGAATGCCACCATCTCTTCCCTGCAGAAATTATAATTTAGCAAAAGACTGTGAGGCATGAACCTTCCTGAGCTCTCTAGATATAGTTAGGATCCACCTCTGTGCTCTCCAGCACTCATTGAAAACTCTATTTCTGTTCTTACCCTGTGGTATGCAGTGATCTACTTACATGTGTTTTCACCACTAGATTAAGTACTTTATTTTTTTAGAGATGGGGGTCTGTGTTGCCTGGGTTTGATTGTAGCAGCTATTCATAGGCACGATCATAGTGTATTACAGCCTTGAGCTCCTGGGTTCAGGCATTTCTTCTGCCTCAGCCTCCTGAGTCGGTGGGACTACAGGGATCACACCTAGATTAGGAACTTCTTGAGCTCAGGCACTGGGTCTTATTAGTGTCAGCAGCCCCAGCATCCATAACAGGATAAGGCATATGGTAGGTGTTCAGTGAAAATGCATTGGGTAAACGAGAGGTTACCATAGGATGTGACGCACAACCAGGCAGCTAAGGAAGCATGGAAGGGAGAAACTTGCTGGGTTCTGGGAAGCATGGAGAAGGCATCCCAGAGAAGGTGAGAAGATCTTTTTTCCCAGGCAGCTTAGAGCACTCTAAGCTCAGGAATTGCATGCTGAAACATGGAGGCAGGAAGGAACATAGCATGGTTGGGCCTATATAACCAAATGTGGTTAGAGCAGAGGGCATGTGGGGGTGTGGGAAGTTAAGTGATGGCACTGGAGAGAAGCAGGGCCTTGAATGTTGGGATAAAGAGCTTAGGCCAATGGGGAAGATTTGAAGCAGGGATCTGAAATGCTCAGATTTGTAGTTTCAAAAGATCACTCAAGCTTCAGCTGCAAAAAAGGTATTGAAAAGGGAAGGATTAGGAGCCAGAAGATGAAGAAGGAAGATGGTTCAATAGTGCAGAAGAAAGAGCACAAGGTCTGAATTAAGGTAGTAGCAGAGATCATTGAGAGATGAGGATCATAAGTTAGCATCCACAGCACTTAGTGACCATGTGATACAGGAGGAGAAAGGAATCCCCTGTGACTTATATGCTACTGGGGATTGAATGGACAGAGGGATCATTCACTGGGGTACAGAACACAGGACATGGATAGACACATCATATTTATGATGTCCCTGGCACCTTCCAGAGGAGGTAGTTAGAAAGTGGGTCTGGAGCTCAGCAAGACAGAGATAGTACTTGAAGCTGTGGGTGTGATTGGGACAGACCAGAGAGAACGTGTGGGGGAAGAAGCCAAGAGGGCCAACAATGAAGACTCATAGAAGAGCAATACTCAAGGACAAGTAGAAAATACAGAGCCCATTAAAAGGACTGAGAGGGAGTGGGCAGGGTATGGAGGAGAACTAGGAGAGTGTGATATTATGAGAGCCTAGAGAGATCGGGGTGTCCAGGAAGGAATGGCCTACAGAGTTGGGAAGCAGTCAGGTAAGTCGAGGGTTAGCAAGTGCCCACTTGGTGGCCTTGGTGAGAGCAATTGCAGCTGAGTGATGGGTAGAGAGACCAGGTTGCAGTAGATTGAGGGATAAAGGAAGCTGAAGAGCTGGAGTCAGTGAATCTAGAAGCCTGGATTTGAATTAGGAGAAGAGGCAGTATCTCGAGGAGGACATTGGGTTGAGAGAGGATTTATATTGTAGATGGGAGAGATTTGTTTGTATGCTGAAGGGCAAAGAGTCACTGGAGTACCAAGTGTGTATGGGGGGGGATCCCCATCCCAGTCCCAGGAGGCAGGAGTATTTTATTATTGATGTGAGCTAGAATTGCTGACACATGTTGCTAACAAAAAGCAGGCCAGATTTTACTCAGTTCTATTATCGTTTTTATATACTCTATAGTTTGTGCCCTTATTGCCTGCACCCAAAATGGGCTGCTTTTTACTGTTTCACTACCAAGAGGGGAGACATCTGATGAAATGTAGTCTTCGATGAGGTTAAAGGGAGAGTTCCAGGGTGGAGACAGAGGGGCTGGCCTTCCACAGGAGGTGGCTCATTCCCTCCTCTAGGACTGGAAAGAAGGAGGAGGGGGAGATGGTTGTGGATGGGGCATTTGTGTGTTTTGATGGGCAGATGTTGAGGGAATTACCAACTGATGGCTTCTCTTCTCCCTATAAGGTGGGAGGGAGAGCATCTGTAGAGGTGGACAGTAAGGTCCTTGTCTGTTTTATTCATTGCTGGGTATCTATAAAGCCTACATAACAGACACTAAAAAATATTTGCTGAATGAATGGATTAGGAGTGAGAGGAGGAGGTTCCTCTGAGAAATGAGGGAGAAGAAGAGAGAAAGAGACTCAGAAACCCAATCCATGTCTGATGAGATCAGAAAAAGGTCACTTGTAATGGCTTCAGCTTTGCCTTGGGGAGTTGGGAGCTGTGGACAATGCCAAGGAAAGCTTCACTGGGGAGATGTTATTTGAACTGGGGTTTGGAGAAGTATAGAAGTTTGCCAGGAGAAAAGGGATATAAGGAGTTATAGAACAAGACCCAGAGGCGAAAGGATGAGCTCAGTGTAGCACAGTAGAGTGGCTGGCAGTGGGGAGCTGTTGGAGGATATTAGCAAAGGAGGGAAATTGTTGGATTTAGAAAGGCCTTCCAAGTGCCTTCTGCAGCTAACACAGGCTCCCCTCTAAAAGTAAACAGATAAGAGGGAAATAGAGCTAAGATGTTCTTTTCTCCTTTTTGTTTCTCTTTAGTGACCTTGACTTTTGTTCTCTCTCTTAGTCACTAGAGAAATTAGTAAAAGAACTGGGATTTCCTTTGGGGGAAAAAAAATCAGGGCATGTAACCAGTATCTTTTATTCTCCACTAGGGCCAAGTGCAGTGGCTCACACCTGTAATCCCAGCAATTTGGGAGGCCAAGCCAGGACGATCGCTTGAGCCAGGAGTTCAAGATCAGCCTGGGCAACATAGGGGGACTCCATGTCTACACACAAAAAAATTAACTAGGCCTGGTGGCACAGCATGCCTGTGGTCCCAACAACTTGGTAGGGCTGAGATGGGAGGATTGCTTGGCCCCAGGAGGTGGAGGCTGTAGTGAGCTATGATTGTGCCACTGCACTCCAGCCTGGGCAACAGAGCAAGACGCTGTCACAAACAAATAAAACAAACAAACAAACAAATAAACAAACAGAAAACAACTCAGTGGGACTGCTTTGGAGCCAAGGGACCCAAGCAGATATGTTCCCTGAGGGTCCATAGGGCACAATGAGCCCCTATGATGGGGTGGCACAAGAGGGTGGTGTGATATGGGTTTGGGTTGGATTACAGACAGGGAAGCTAATGGGGGCTCATCCTAAGGAGCACTTTCTGCTAGCATTGTTCAACAAAGGCAGTCTCACAAACCGGTGAATGCCTCATGATGAAGTATGTGACAAAGACTGTGGCTACTGCTAGGGAAGCTGCTGGGGGACCAGGCCAGTGGGAGCTGAGCCAGATTAGCTCTGAAGTTCTGACCTTGAAGAGAGGGAGGGGCTGGCAGTCAGGAATCCCTGAATCTGCTCTTCAGCACAAACCCCTTCTAAACAGAGCCTCTCACAGCAGAGATGCCACTGTTGTTGCTGATGGGCCCACCCACCTCTAGGACAGCTGCCACCCTCATACACTTGTGGGGAGGGAGCCTCCAGCATTCTTCCCCTATTGCCGTGAAACCCTGTGAACAGATCCTTTATCTGGGCCCTCATTTGCTCTCCTATTTCACAACAGAAGTGGGCAGGCCATGATTGTTACTCCTATTTGACTGGTGGTTTCTTGAGGCCAAAGAGGCACAAGGAGTGGCCCAGCCAATGCTAGAACCCAAGCCTGCCAAGTTCCAGCCTGGCTTTCTGCTGCCCACCAGACCATGGGGATAGTTGGCCCATGCTTTGTTCTACCAGCAGAGAAGGCTTCCAAAAGCTCCTGGGCTACTGAGCCCCTCCCACAGAGTTGTGTTGCCCAGAACTCTGGGCAAGATGGACCCTCCCAAGCCTAAACCTTCCAAACAGTGGGAATCCTAGTCCCCTCCCCTCTTCTCCCACACAGGCTGAAAGTTCTTCCCCAAGAGCTAGTCTGCACCCTTTCTGTTGTACTGCATCTTCTTGGAGCTGGAGAGCAGCCAGCTAAACTAGAGGGGAGGGCCAGAGAACAAGGGGAGGGCCACCCAAGCTCTGAGACGTGGGGCCAGGAGCCACTGCCTCCCTCCTTGGCCCAGCGGGAGAGAAATTTTTTGAAGTGGGTGTTTAGCAGTTACCACCTGAGGCTTGTAGGGGAGGAACAGTAATTACTACCATTATTGTGAACATGTGGCTGGTGTTGGGCTAGGTGGTTTACATGTTTTATCTCAATCCTCCAACAACCTTTTTTGAGGTAGGTATTCAACACAAGTCTCAGAGAGGTCAACTGATGTGCTCAAGGCTACACAGCAAATACGTGGTGTGACTCAGCTACAAACCCAGGTTGTTCAGATAGAAACACTTGTGCTCTTAACAACCTGTGTTCTGAGAAGTGAGAAGCAAACTGAGTAGGTGTCAAAACTGGAACCAGGTCTGACTCATGGCCCAGGGAACTTTTACTGGCCCTTCTCTCTCCACCCGCCCTCCCCGCACCTGGTTGGCTTTACTTTCAGTTGAGAATTTATGATGCACTAACTCGAATGACGGTGGCGGTGGGAGGGTGTGTGAGTGTGTGCGTGTGCATGCATGCTTATGGGTCTGTCCCTGGGTAAGCCCTTGGGACATGTTCTCTCCCCTCTCTTTCTCACACCAGGACTGCAGAGTTTGGCTCATTTTCTTCCAGTGGGCATGAGGGTGGTGTGATGCGGGCCTGGGTTGGAATCCCACAGGCTGTGGGGCAGTAGCTGTAGGCAACTTCACCTCTCCTAGCCTTAGCTCCCTCATTTTAAAAAGGGGATAAAGGGCCAAGCACAGTGGCTCACACCTGTAATTTCAACACTTTGGGAGGCAGAGGTGGGGGGGTGGGGCGGATCACTTGAGGCCAGGAGTTCGAGACCAGCCTGGCCAGCATGGTGAAACTCCATCTCTATTAAAAAAAAAAAAAAAAAAAAAAAAAATCAGCTGGGCATGGAGGTGCACGCTTATAATCCCAGCTACCTGGGAGGCTGAGGCAGGAGAATCGCATAAATCTGGGAGGTAGACGTTGCAGTGAGCTGAGATCTGGCCACTGCACTCCAGCCTGGGCAACAGAACGAGACTCTCTCAAAAACAAAAATAAAAATAAAAAATTAAAAGAGGATAACCCCACAGGTGGTTGTAAGGATATGAATTAACAGACATAATTTTTAAAAAAGTAAATACAGACAGGGTTTCACCATGTTGCCCAGACTGGTCTCCAGCTCCTGGACTCTAGTGATCCTCTGGCTTTGGCCTTCCAAAGTGTTGGGATTATGGGCGTGAGCTACCGCGCCCGGCTGAAAGTAAAATATTTCAAAGTTTTCCGAACACACTGAGCGTTTACTTAGGGTCGGTAATGGGTTGTTTAGGAGTCACTCCACCGGGCAGTGCTGACTGGAGTCTCCTGTTTTCCTATCGTAATTGGAGGAGATAAACCCTGCCCTAACCAGGCCAGTCAGCAAAGTGGGGAGAAGCTGTGGCGCAGCCCCGGCTTCTCACCCGCCATGCCCTGCAGCCTGTCCCCCAGGGTTTTACAAAGTGTCCCCGCGGCGGCCCCTCTGCTCACCGTGCCCAGAGCACAGCCGGGCCCTGGAAAACGCCTCCACCTTCTGCGTGTGCCAGGACAGCTACGCGCGCTCGCCCACCGACCCGCCCTCGGCTTCCTGCACCCGTGAGTTCCCCTGTAGGCGGCACTGCAGAGGGTGGCGGGGTGGGGGAGGACAAGAAAGGCCTGATCCGGGTGGTGCTGAGGGCGGGGGCTCGCACTGGGGCGCACGAGGGCGGGTACGGGGGCCAGCGCCCCGGAAGGCGGGGTGTGGGGACCGGAGCCTGAACGGGTGCTGGGGGCCGAGGCCTTGGATGAGAAGAGCCAGGACAACTACGTGAGTCCAGTCGGAGGATGGGGTTAGGATGCTTGGCGGGTCACTGAGGAAAGCGCCCCTTTGCCGCCCTCTCTGCACGCTACCTACCCTCCAGCCGAAAGAGGGGCTCCCTACCTTCGCACCATCGGTTCAGGGTCCACACACTTCCATCCTCGGCTCCTCACTTACCTCCTCCCAAATCCTCACCAACTGCCCTGCCGCTCTCACCTGCCGACCTCCCAAGGGCTCTCACACCTGGGTCCCTGACCCTTCCCTGGGGAAGGGACCAGCTCCTGCTCCTTCTCGCCCGGGGCTCATCCGTATTTGACCCCTCACTGACCATCTCTGTTCCAACCTCCCCGACTGAACCCACGTCCCCAATCCTCCCACCCCCAGACCCCTCTCCCCTGTCCTATCCCCCACGCCCACTGGCTCCCACGGCGCCGTTTCCGCTCAACCATCCCTGTCCCTTCACTGACCGTCCCTTCTGCCCTCCTCCCTGACTGACCCCACGCCCCTGTTCCCCGTCCCTGCATATCTATTCTGTCCCCCTCATCCACCCTGTCCCCTGATGAGCGCCCGCTCCCTCCTCCCCGATTGATCCTCGCGCTCCAGCTTCTCCCGCCTCACTGGGAGGTGGACCAGCCCCCGCCCGCCCAGTGCATCCTGCCCCCCTCGCGGGCTCCCACGCGCCGCCCTGACCGCCCTGCCCCTGTGCCGCCCAGGGCCGCCGTCGGCGCCGCGGGACCTGCAGTACAGCCTGAGCCGCTCCCCGCTGGCGCTGAGGCTGCGCTGGCTGCCGCCGGCCGACTCAGGCGGACGCTCGGACGTCACCTACTCGCTGCTGTGCCTGCGCTGCGGCCGCGAGGGCCCGGCGAGCGCGTGCGAGCCGTGCGGGCCGCGCGTGGCCTTCGTGCCGCGCCAGGCCGGGCTGCGGGAGAGCGCCGCCACGCTGCTGCACCTGCGGCCCGGCGCGCGCTACACCGTGCGCGTCGCCGCGCTCAACGGCGTCTCGGGTCCGGCGGCCGCCGCGGGAGCCACCTACGCGCAGGTCAACGTCTCCACCGGGCCCGGGGGTAAGGCCGCCTGCCCCCGCGCCCGCATCCCCCTCCCCGAGGCCCCAGCGCCTGCCGCCCCCGCGCCCTCCCGGGGCCGCCCCGTCGGTCCAGCAGGAGCCCCGCCCACTCGCCCCAGAGAAGCACTCTGTGCACGCACCCTGCGCCTCTCCGGGACACGAAGTCACCCCCGGACTTCCCAGCGTCAGTCGCCCTCCCGAGTCTGCAAGAGGGACTGAGAATGCAGGCGTCCCCTTGCTACCCGGCCAGAGGGGAGGCGCGCGGTTCTGTGAGTCTGCTGGAAGCCGCTGGGTGCTCGCCTTTCTCCTGAGCGCCCTGCACAAAGCCGTTGTCCCGCTCACAGATCTGCAATTGGCCTTGCCGCTGACTTCTCAGGGAAAAAGAGGTGGAAAGTCCCTTAATCTCTTACCTTACCTTTAAAAAAGTCAGTAGGAAGCCGAATTTACTTCCTTCTCTCTGTCTGGGGAAGCGGGGTGCCGTCGTGTGTCCCTTGCCTCCATCCCTCGGCCTCTGCATGGCTTTGCTGCGCTGGCCACCCCTTTCCTGGTCCCCGGGAAATGGCAAGGAAGCTTGTAGAGTTAGGCTGTAGGGGCAATGGAACACACCAGCCAACACATCGCTGAGACTGGACATGAGATGAAAGTGAAGACCTGCAGCCTTTTTCCACCACACCTTCACTCCTGACAGTTTCTTTTGATTCGCTTCTCCACTGGCGGGAACCTTCAAGTAATGCTTGTATTCTTTGCAAGAAAGATAAACTAGTGGTATGGTTTCTGACTTTCTTCCTAATCGAGGCGATAGGATCGGTCTGTGACCCTGCTTCTCTGCCTTCTGTGATTCCGCTTCTGTCTTCTGGCAGTTCTGTTGCCGAGAAGTCTGAGGCTAGGGTTGTTTTCATTCTTTTCTACGTAACTTGGACTTATGACATATATATGTATACACACGGATGTTAGAATATTCTTTAACCTACTTAACTTGTTGAAAATAAACTTTTTTTTTTAAATGGAGTTTTGCTCTTGTCACCCAGTCTGGAGCATGGTGGTGTGATCACAGCTCATGGCAACCTCTGTCTTAAGGGTTCAAGAGATTCTCCCACCTCAGCCTCCCAAGTAGCTGTGATTACAGGTGGGCACTGCCATACCCAGCTAATTTTTGTATTTTTGGCAGAGATGGGGTTTCACCATGTTGGCCAGGCCGGTGTTGAACTCCTGACCTCAAGTGATCTGCCTGCCTCAGCCTCCCAAAGTGCTGGGATTACAGGCATGAACCACCATGCACCCAGCCAAAAATAATCATTTGACCAATATGGATTTTTGATTGAGTAAACCTTTTGATTTGCACAATTTTTTTTTTCCTGGAAAAGTTTTCTTCAGGCCAGGCACAGTGGCACAGGCCTGTAGCATTTTGGGAGCCTGAGGCCAGGAGCAACATAGTGAGACCCTGTCGCTACAAAAATTTTAAAAAATTAGCCAGACATGGTGGTGTGTGCCTATAGTCCCTGCTGCTCAGGAGGCTGAAGCAGGAGGATCGCCTGAGCCCAGGAGTTTGAAGCTGCAGTGAGCGATGATTGTGCCACTGCACTCCAGCCTGGGCGACAGAGCCGGACCATGTCTCTTAAAAAAGTTTTCTTCAGCTACTGCTTTGACTAGAACTACTGATAGCTCAAACATATCTCTTATTTAAAATATATCTAAGCCTTAGGTTGTACATTCACTTTCTGATTCTCAAACCTTGTCACTTGACTTCCTTGATCATTTTGAGCTCTTAATCCATTTCCACTGCCATTTGGAGGTTTCCCAACTCATCTGGGTTTCTGGAACAGTACTGTTTTTTACTGTCTCTATTGTGATTTAACATTTGCCATTGCATTTACATTTTTTAAAATTCCTTTTCGATCTTTCTTTCATGTTAGACGGGTATTGTGCCAATGTCGTAAAAAGGTTCAAGGGTGACACATCTCACACATGAGTGTGAATTCCCAATCATCACACCCACAAACTACCAAAGGATCACATTTTTGAAAATTCAGTATAGAAAAAGAAAAAAGCTATAATCTTATTATGCCGACATAAACCACTATTAATATCTTAGAGTATATACTTCCAGAAATGTTTCTATCTTTATCTCTGTATTCATATTTGTAATTATCTACCCATAAAACCCCTTTCATTTTTTGTTTTTGTTTTTTTAAACAAAAATAAAAATTTATTTTATATTTTCTTTTTTAAAATTTTATTTTAGGTGTATTCTATATCCGGCATTTCTCCCCATGTTATCCCTCCCCACCCTCCACCGTCCCTCGCCTACCCCCTAACTGCCCCCAGCATGTGATGCTCCTCTCCCTGAATCCACGTGTTCCCATTGTTCAACACCCTCCTGTGAGTGAGAACATGCGGTGTTTGGTTTTCTGTTCTTGTGTCAGTTTGCTGAGAACGATGTTTTCCAGATTCAACCAAGTCCCTACAAAGGACACAAACTCATTGTTTTTTATGGCTGCATAGTATTCCATGGTGTATATGTACCACATTTTCTTTGTCCAGTCTATCATTGATGGGCATTTGGGTTGGTTCCAGGACTTCGCTATTGTACACAGGGCTGCAGTGAACATATGTGTGCATGTGTCTTTATAGTAGAACGATTTATAGTTCTTTGGGTATATACCCAGTAATGGGATTGCTGGAAAACCCCTTTTGTTTTAATACAGTCATGCACCATATGATATTTTGGTCAACAATGGATGGCATATATGATGGTGGTCCCATAAGATTATAATGGAGCTGAAAGACTCCTGTCACATAATGCTTTCTGTTGCAATTGCCTGCAGTATTCAGTACAGTCACAGGCTGTTACCCAGGCTGTACAGGTTATAGCTTAGAAGTGTGATAGTCTATACCATCTAGGTTTGTGTAAGTATACTTTGATGTTTCTATAGCAATGAAATTGCCTAACAACCCATTTCTCAGAACATCTTCCCATCATTTAGCAATCCATGACAGTATATGTAATACTTTTATCTGGGATTTTATATGAGCAATCTTAACTGTTTTGACACAGATGGATTTAAAAGCCGTGTTAAGGAAATAATCTTCTATTTCCACTTTCTTCATAAAAATACTCGCTGGGGCCTTATAAGTTTAGCCGGGCGCGGTGGCTCAAGCCTGTAATCCCAGCACTTTGGGAGGCCGAGGCGGGTGGATCACGAAGTCAAGAGATTGAGACCATCCTGGTCAACATGGTGAAACCCCGTCTCTACTAAAAATAC